AAAATCAAGAATATTGAAATAAGGGTAGTTAGCACAAAACGTCCCTACTTTTCGATATTTTTGTGGAAAACGTCCCTAACTTTTTTGGCAGATTACACCCTCACCTTTACCCTTTTTTTTGCGCAAAACGTCCTTCTATCAACTCCCCATTAAAATGTTCCGTTAAATTAAAAGGTAATTAGCACAAAAGGTCCCTACCTTTCAATATTATTGGAAAAAACGTCCTTACCTTTCATTTTTTGGCATAATTAGCACAAAAGGTCCTTACCTTTCAATGTTATTGTGCAAAATGTCCCTACCTTTAATTTTTTAGCATTTTCACCCCTACTTTTCACCTTTCATTGCGAAAAAGGTCATTCTCATCCTTTTTTTTTCAATAAAATGACGATTTTATCCTCCTATTCAAATAAAACAAAAAGAAAAAGATGAATAACCAACTGCAACCACAATCCTTAAATTTTTAAAAAATTACAAAGAAATCATAAATTCCCAACCACCACCACTTTCACAACCTATCAAGTTGCCAACTATAAATCAACATAATATCACCTTTCTATCACCATTCCCACCAGACTTTGCCACCGTAAATATGGTTGTTTTGGACAGATTGATGACTAATACTATGGAGGAGGATATTGAGAAGAGTGAGGTGAGGCTGGTGGTGGTGGAGTCCGATAGGAGTTGTAGCCGAAAGGTAGTGCTATATGGATCTATAGGTGGTGGCTTGGTGGGGTTATGAAAGTGGCGGTAGTGAAAAATTTAGAATTTATCTGTAATGTTTTGAAAGATTTAGGACTATGATTACAATTAATTAATTATTTTTCTTTTCTTGTCTTTTTGTTTTATTTGAATAGAAGGGTAAAATCGTCATTTTATTGAAAAAATGGATGAGAATGACATTTTTCACAATGAAATGTGAAAGGTAGGGGTGAAAATGCTAACAAATGAAAGGTAGGGACGTTTTGCACAATAATATTGAAAGATAGGGACCTTTTGTGCTAATTACCTTTTAATTTAACGAAACATTTTAACGGGGAGTTGACAGAAGGACATTTTGCGCAAAAAAATGTAAAGATGAAGGTGTAATCCACCAAAAAAGAAAGGTATGAACGTTTTCCACAAAAAATCGAAAGGTAGGAACATTTTGTGCTAATTACCCTTGAAATAATAATTATCGAACCAAAATCTTTCATCTTCCAGAATTCAAGTGAACTCAAATCTAACGGTCTAATGTTAAAAAAACTTTAGACTTGTTAGGGAGTGATTTTTTATCTGAAAAATTGAATTTTTGACCGTTATTTCATTATTACATCCGTCATATGTGACTTCTTCTCTTATAGGTGAACCTCACTTTTCTCTTAACGATCAAAAAATCAATTCTCAAAATCACTCATAAACAGGCTATTAGTAAAATATAAAGTAGATACTCAAAATATTCTTGATTATGAGTGTCATTTTTATTGAAATCAACTGCCTTTATAATAATCTTTTTTAACCTTTAATAAATGGACCTATTAAAAAAATAATCCCAATTTTAAACTTAGTTTAAAAAATGTTATCGATACAATAATTATTTTGAAGACGTATTATTTAGATGAAGTACATGATAATATTAACAAACTCAATACTCAGAAGCATACATGCATTCGTAGTACTAGCTAATAATATTATCAAAACGACAAGCGCACAGAATACATAACATTTCCCTCTACAAAATGACCATTTATTACTTTGTAATAGCTTACACACAGAACTCAAGACTGTCAACTTCATTCGAAAGATGAGTAACAAGCCCAGAATACAGAACATTTCCCTCTCCAAAGACTCATTTATTACTTTCTAATAGCTTAACAAGATTACATATCAAACTCAGACTGTTAACTCCATTTGAAAGACAATACTCATCGAGAGAGTCGAGGTGTTACCAGAGGCGTGTGCTACAGCCTCTACTGCTGTACAAAAAGCATAGTCTTGGCCAGATCTAATGCTTTCTTTTGTCCGAATAGTTTCTCTGTGATCACCAAAGAAAACTCCATGGCTGTTCCTGGACCTCTGCTAGTGATGAGATTGCCATCGACCACAACTCGATTTTCTGCTTCGCTTGGATCCGACAGTTTGTTGCACATAGCTGGGAAAGCAGTGGCCTTCTTACCCTGTGTAGGCACCACGATGAGAGAAGAAGACACAGAGTTCTAGAAGGGCAAAAGAGGAATTCTACAACAAATGATACCTTCAACAAGCCATGGGGCTCAAAAACTAAAGCTGGCGAAGCACATATTGCCCCATAGGGTTTATTTGCTTCCCTTTGCTTCTTCAGTGAAAATACGAGCTTCTCTGATTTGGCAAAGGCTTGTGCACCACCAAGTCCGCCCTGCATAAGAGCGGTACGTGATGAAAATGATCACTTAGATTATGAGGTTTTATTTTTAATTTACAACCACAAATGATGATAAAGGTCCTATACTTACAGGCAAAACAATAAGGTCATAAGAACGTTTTAGAGCCTCGTCTAGAAGAACGTCCGCGACAAGTTTAACTTTCCTGGAAGCCAGGATTTCTAATTTATCTTCAACAGATGCCACCACCACTTCAGCTTTTGCTCGTCGTAGTACATCTATCATTATAACAGCTTCCATCTCCTCGGTTCCATTAGCAATGGGTACAAGAATCTGCAAAGGCAAACGCATAAATTGTGATTTGGATATAGAAGCCAAAGATCCTACTTTTAAAAAGTGTAGCAATTCAGTTGAGCCTTTTGTTCAGGTGAGGAGTCCTCTATTGGTAGTACTTTCAAGGTCACTCCAATGTTCAGCCTTTAAATTCCCCCACACCCCCTCCCATTCTTTCTTCATCCGTCCATTAGATAAAACATCAAACTACAAATAAGAAGGAAGCCAGATAATGAAACAATGCTGTCTATAATTGGATACAAGTATAAGCTAGGCTGATAACTGAAAGAGCACATCGATCCAATGCTTCCGCTGAAAGTTTGAGAGATCCCAATAAAAGAATAAAACATCTCGACAAGATAAAAAGAAGTCTGGTTGTTGGTTAGTACTTGCATGTGCAAGTGAATCGCAGAAAAAATTGCCACGGAAAGGCAGCTTCTACATGGTATGGACAGACTACATATATACAATTTGAAACAACATTGCAAGTATTAGACCAGCAGATAATAGAAACAACAAACTCAGATACCTGTGGACTATCCCCAAATGTCCACTTGATTGGTTTTAGCTCAGCGAATGTATACTCATCCCCGTGATTTGAGCGCATAACCTGATTACAAATATAAGCTGTCAGAGTTTATCAAAATAAAAAATGTAAAAAAATGAATCAAAGATGAAATGAAGAAGGGGCTTATGACGTTCCCACGAAGAAGAGTAAGAAAAGTAACAGAAATGGTGCACACATAAAAGTTCAGTGAACCAGTACAATTGTAACTATTGAACATGTGATAAGGATACTTCCAGCATTGAACTTGTGAAACTCCAAGGTGCCAAGCATATGATGAAATTGAAGGGCCGTAGGCAAAATTTTGATGCCTATGCAATTGAAGATCCAGATTTTCTACAGAGGTGGCACCGAGCGTTATCAGGCACTTGAGCAATTTAGAAACCCATAAGACAAATTCAAGGAGATGACCTGCCCTACATTTTCTTAGGCAAAAATATGCAAGGAATCCATCCAGTAAAAAGGAGAGAGGCAGCTAACTTGCTTCAGAAAGTTTTAGGGTGTTTCAATAGACTAGTCTTTCCCAGTTGGCTCTTAATAAAACCTACAAGGATAGCGTCTTAGTTCATCTCTCCATAAGGTCATATATCCTTTGTTATCCACACAATCATGTTACTCCTTATCTCAGAGTCTAAACTTAGGAGATTCCTCTTTACATTGTCCATGTGAATGAAAGAATTCAACCATGTTTTTTGGCTCGCTTAAACAAGTATACTTGTTTGGAATAGTCTCCATATCCCTATTCTTCAACCTTATATGTGCTACTTCTAACCATAGAGATGGTAATGTATGTCCCTCAGACCACATACTCGTAATTTGACACAGCTACAGGTTCACTAAATGATATTGCCTTCTATCTCCGAGCAATATCTGTGAGTGCATTACAGGGCACCTCTTCTGAAAACAGGGCTAGCATCACTCTCACCTGAACTGTCCTTAGCAATTTAGATAAATTAATTAACATGCATAATGGGTGTTTGATAGGCATTTTTATGTAAAAATGCATTTTAGAATAGTAAATTAATGTGAAATGTGTGGTTGAGAAATAAGGAAAAGTTTTTCATTTACGTATAATATTATTTTAATAAAGAATGTGTGGTTGAAAAGAAGAGAGAGAAAAATGCATTTTGAAAAAAATGACTATCAAACGGGGCCTTAATAACCTGATCAATAATCCGAAATCAATTCTACATCCATTAGAACTAGAGAATATGAATTGTGATTATCCCTACTAATCAAGAAATGAAAAGTGCAGATCATGCTAAATTACAAGAGGCAACATTACCAGTGGTCCAGAAACTTCATCAGCTTTTTCCTTCCCATAAAGTAGTTCGACCAGGGTTACAGAATACTCCATAGCTGTTCCTGGTCCTCGACTGGTCACTACTTTCCCATCCTTCTGGACTCTTGATTCAACAGCAGTAGCAGAAGATGATAGCTGCTCCATAAATGATGGGTAACAAGTTGCCTGTTGAGGATAATCGCCATTTCAGTCACTTAAGGAAGATCGTCGATCGTCAACTATAAAAGCTTCGTACAAGCAAGTACTAGGAAATAAAAAAATAGTGTAGCTATTCTTGCTTACTTTCAACCCCTTCAAGAGACCCCATGATCCAAGTGCAACTGCAGGAGCTGCACATATTGCAGCATATGGGCGGCCATCAGCAGCCTGCTTCTTCACCATGCTTTCCAATGTTTTGCAATCTCTAAGTGTGGCTGCACCAGGCATTCCTCCCTAGACCATAGTTGCATTTTAATAACAAGTTTTCCAAAAATAAATTTATCGTTGAAAGATGATCTGTACTAGATATGGTACGTAGCTACTAGCTGTATAAATTGCACCCATAGCATCAGAAGCGGATATATCAGTTCAGGTTTTTGGGTAAATAGGTATATTTACAATAGACTTAATAATAAACATTAGAGAGCTTCTAACTATTTAAAACAAACAATTCCAGAGTTAGTAACTTTCAATATTGTATCCAAAACTGATAGACCGCCCACTATATTTACATACACGAGGAGAAAGAAAGAAAAAAGGTGATACAGCCAGCAGGCCAGGTGCAAGAGTTCATGCAGGGAATCAAACTTAGTTCTCTTATCTATTATCAGTTAGTTACCGGGGGTATTATGGGGAATTGAGGGAGTGAGGAAGTGTCAATAAATGTGAGAGTAGGGGGGCAGGGAAGGAGCATTCACGTTTGTTGAGTCTTGTGGGGAGAGACCAGGCCTCTTGAAAGCCTTTTGTTTCCCCTTTGTTTTCCAGTACTTCATTCAAGGAAGTAATAGTTTATTTCATTGTTGAGTTCTTCTTATTGCCTAGGGTCCTATCAAAAACCAAAACCAAAACCAAAACCAAAATCAAAATCATCAGTTTTCATTCAATTGTTGATCACGCATATATAAAAGTTTGATTAACTACTAAGCAATTATTAGTAGAGAGTGGCAACAGATGCTGATTTGTCGAAGAAAAATGAATTCCAGATTATTCACCCGCTGAGTAAAAAATATTAGCTGCCAAGCATACTTGCACTCGATCATCCGTGAATTTTTTGCCTAGAGATATTTAGATAGATCAAATAAAAATAGTTCATTTAACAACAAATTGGCAATTTATCAGCCATGAACAAGCCAGTCTAGTAAATGTATAATTTAGCGATTCATTGTTATAGAAATCCATCAAAATTTCCAATTCATAGAAGATTAGAATCTGAAACACTAGTGCTCAAAATAATTAGATACATAAAGCATACCGGAAGAGAAATAAGATCATACGCAGTATCAGCGCAATCAGAAATAAGGGCATCGCCGACGATTTTCACTCCGTGACAAGCATCAACACATAGCTGTTTCTCCACCGACGCGACGGTCACATCGGCGCCAGCTCTCCTCAACACATCAATAGTTATCACAGCCTCCAGCGGCTCCGTTCCATTCGCAACCGGCACCAAAACCTAAAGGCAACGACATAGTAGTCAAATCATTAAATTATCAAGCAACAGAATCAGCAATAATTCATTTGAACATAGAGTACAGCCGAGTACCTTCTTAGCAGAGGAAGCCATTACTGTAAATGAGAAGCGTTTGATTTTACTGCGGGAGATGGAGTGCGTGTGTAAATGTGACGAATGTAGGGGCCGTTTGGTGATAGATATAAAGGGGGCAAATGGAGTGAGGTGGCGCAAACGTAGTGCTGCCATTTTCTATTCTATTTTTTTGATGTGTAAAGGTAGTTCGAGTTCTCTAGAGACTGGATAGATTAAAGATTGAGACACTCGAGAGCGAGCCATTTGTACATTCTTTGCTGCTTTGATAAAGATAGACAAAGTTACACGCACATGATTTTTACTTTTACTTTTCTATATTTTGTAAAAGAGTTTTATAAAAAAAAAAATAATTTAGGCACCATTTGATAAACATCAATTTTTTTTTTATAGAAAATGGAATTAGAATGTCAATATCTAATTTTTTGTGTGTTTGATAGTGTTTTATTTTCCATGAAAATTAAATTTTTGAATTTCTTGGGAATTGTAATTTTCTAGCTTTTGTGGGAAAATCTAAGAATCGATTTTCCAGGTTACTATTGACTTTTTTTTTTCCTCTTTTTTGTAATGAAAACAAATTTTAAGAATTATTATAAAAAAAATTTTCCTTTAATTGACAATTTTCATGTAAAATAAAGTCAAACAAACATCAAAAGATAGATGATTTTCTTGAATTTTTTTATTTTTTTAGCAATGAAAATAAATTTCATCTCCAATACCAATAATTTCATCCTTTTAATTGACAGTTTTCATGTAAGATAAAGTTAAACGAACACAAAAAACACTTTTATTTTAACATTTTTCACGTGAAAAATTATACCAATCAAATATAATAATTTACAATTTTTAGGAAAACAATTTCTAAACAATTTAATTCCCTGAAATTCGTTTTCTTTCCACCCAAATTCTATCTTTTCAATCAAACGGACTCTTGGATTAACTTTCTTAAAAAAATCTTTTAGTCACATAAAATACTTCCAAAAAATTATTTAAATATATTAAAAATCAGTGTCTTAGAGCCTGTTTGTTCTCATTATGAGAGAAATTATAGAGTTTGAATAGTATTTTTTGGAGAATGTATGGTTAAAATTTAAAGAAATTTATTGGTTTGCATGTAGAATATTTTATAGTGTAAATGTGTAGTGGAGAATGTTACTATAATAAATAATTTAATTTATTAAAGAATGTGTGTTGATGGAAAGCTTATGGTTAAAAAATAAGAAAGAATTCTGAATTTAAGTGTAATATTATTTTATTGAAAAAATGTGATTGAAATTATGTCAAGTCACTGTTTAAGAATGTTTTTTATTTTATTTTATTTTTTTAATGTGGGTCAAATAAGGCCTTAATTTGACATTGAGAAACGAAAACTAATTATTTAATTTATCTAGTTAATGGCTAAATATAGACTGTATTTCTACTTTATTTTACACTTAATCAATTGGATGAGTCAAATTCATTCGTTAATTGATCTAGCAAAAGTTTAGCCCCAGTTCCAATGTCCCAATTGTTTGATACATAGCCACAAAATATTTCAAAATACATTTTTAGTAGTAACAGACTTATGATTTGTTTGTTTGTTTGTTTTTTATATAATTTAATTAAAATGTTCATGGTTACAATATAACAAAATTTATGATCGCAATAATAAAGACACAATTTATAGGTTACAATCTTTCGTCTCACCCCATCTTTATGCCATAACTGCTGTCACCACCCAAATCATCGTCACCAACTCAAATCCACATTCCACCACCACCAGGTGCAGATTCAGGCATGGCTAGCTTGGACGACAGCTCCTGCTCGCCCAAGCCCAGATGCAGGTAGTCCATATATTTTTTTAGGTGAGCCCATTTCATTTTAGTTGCCAGAAAAAAGAATGAGACCTGAGTCCTGACCCAACTCCATATTTTTTGCCAAAATTTTTTTTTAATTTCAATACCTTATAAACCAAACCCAAACCTAAAACTGTTAATATTTAGTTTTGATCATGTTAAGAATCGATAATCACAATCCAATAATTTAATAGAAACGAATTAATATCTGCGCAAGCCATTGTTGATATGAATGATAGTTGTAATAGCGGCCAAAATCTTCCCCTCCTTACTCCTCACAAAGTATTAGCTATTAATGTGGCAAACTAATAAAACATATGGAGAGGAGAGGGGACATAATCTTTATATAGGAAATAATTGAGCCGCCCCATTACGACTAAAATTCTAATTAGGGTTTATTTTCGGCCCACATACTTAAAACTACCACATCATGTTAGTCACTCAATTGATTACTTAACAAATTTGGCCCAAAAACAAGCCATAACAAAGTTTTAACACTCGGGTTAGACTACATAGGTGGCCACAAAAGTATAGCTTCAATGATGACACATTACGTAACATGATCCAATGCAACAAGGATATTAACACTGAACATGGAAATCATTACACCAATTAAGCGATGTAAGACCATTCCACAGCTACAAATGCCAATATCCTTATCGACATGGATCCCCATCCTCCAACCATTGTGGTAGTATATGGTATGAACTTAGCACCAATTGTGATAAAAAAAAACTGTGCTAGCTCATATCGGTTCTCATAATGCTTCGAATCAAAATGAAGCTACATGTCTCCAAAAGAGACTCATCTTATATATTTATATATCATATCTAGAGATCACGATAATGTTATAAAAAGATATAAGTCAAATGCATGCTTAAAACAGTTAATGGATAGGGAAAAATATTTTATTATCAGAAGGGGCTAAACCCCAAAACACATGGGTTGCTTATGTACCCCGTAAGGAATCAAACCCAAAATGTAATTCATAAATCACTCCCACTAACCACAAACATCAAATGTGTCAACAATACCCATATTAGCAATATGTGTCTTAAGGACTTTTGGAGCGAGTCTCTTAGTTAACGGATCTGCAATCATTATCTCTGTATTGGTATGCTCTATTTTCGTCTGCCCTTCTTTGACTCTGTCTCTAACAACCAAATATTTGATGTCAATATGTTTTGATACCAGAACTTTTATTATTCTTTGAAAAGAATACTGCCACACTATTATCACAATAGATGGTGATTGGTCTTGAGATGGAATTAACAACTTTCAAGTCAGAGATGAAATTTCTTAACCAAACGGCTTGGACTGTAGCCCCATAACATGCCACAAATTCAGCTTGCATATTAGAAGATACCACTAGAGTCTATTTAGCGCTTTTCCAAGAAATGGAACCACCAGCTAATGTAAAAATATAATCTGAAGTTGATTTCAAATCATCCTGACATCCAGCAAAATCAGAATTTGAATATCCTACCACATCAAGATGATTTGTACGCTGGAATGTAAGCATATAACTTTCAAATTTTTTCAAATATCTCATAACTTTCTTAGCTGCTTTCCAATGCTCTTGTCCTGGATTAGAGTGAAATCTGCTAAGGACACTGACTGCATAGGTTATATCCAGTCTAGTGCAAACTTGAGCATACATTAAGCTCCCCACAACACTAGCATATGGAATCATTTTCATAAATTCCCTTTCCAGCTCATTCTTTAGACATTGAGTTTTGTTAAACTTATCTCCTTTTATGATAGATACATCACCAGGTGTACAGTTCTGCATATTAAACATTTCTAGAACACGTCGTATATAAGCTTTCTGAGAGTGTCCCAATAAGCCATGATTTCTATCACGATGTATTTTAATGTCAAGTACATAGCAAGCTTCTCCAAGATCTTTTATCTCAAAATTAGCCGACAACATTTTTTTGTCTCATGAAGCAGTCCTAAGTTACTGCTAGCAAGCAGAATGTCATCAACATACAGTAGAAGAAAAATAAAATTTCTCACGGGTTTTGAGATAAATGCATTGGTCAATAATATTTTCGAAAAAACCAAGAGAGGTCACAATCTCATCAAATTTCAAATACCACCGTCGAGATGCTTGCTTGATACTATATAAGGATTTGTTTAACTTACATACCAAGTTCTCTTTTCCTTTCACAATAAAGCCTTCAAGTTGTTTCATATAAACCATTTCAGAAAGATCTCCATTCAAAAATATTGTCTTAACATCCATTTGATGAAGCTCCAAATTGTAGTGTGCCACAAGAGCCATAATAACTCGAAAAGAATCTTTTGATGAAACGGGGGAAAAGGTTTCAACATAATCAACGCCCTCTCATTGAGTGAAACCTTTCGCAATCAATCTTGCTTTCTTTTGTTCAATATTTTCTTTTGAATCTAATTTACTTTTGAAAATTCACTTGTTATTTACAGTCTTAGCATCTGGAGGAAGTTCAACAAGATCCCAAACTTTATTCCTTTCCATGGAATTCATTTCATCTTCCATGGTAGCTATCCATTTATCTGCCTTAGGACTTGTCAATGCTTGGTTATAAGTTACAGGATCAACAATATGCCCAATATTAAAATCGCTCTCCAATAAATATGTAATATAATCACTGGGCAATGCAGATCTTCTTTCCCTTTGTGATCTCTTAATTTGTGGCTCAGGAATCGATTCAATCGTTGTTTGAGGAATTGGAGCTTCCTCCTGGTTCCTCGGTTCTTCGTTAACAACTTTAATTGGTTGAGAACCAACTCTTTCCTGTATGATAGGAACTGGAACAATAACTTGATTAGGTTCAACAAGAATTTCTCTCAACGTGGAACTCCTACTATCTCCAAAATCGTTCTCCAGAAATTTAGCAATAATTGACTCCACAATTCTAGTGTTACGATTTGGATAGTAAAACTTATATCCATTTGATCTATCCGGATACCCAATAAAGTAGTCAGGAGTTGATTTAGGGTTTAATTTCTTTTCAAATGGATTATAAATCCTAACCTCAGCTGGACATCCCCAAATTTTAAAGTGAGCCAAACTTGACTTACATCTTGTCCATAATTCAAAATGTGTCTTTGCAACAACTTTACTTGGAACTTTGTTCAAAATATATATAGCCGTTTTCAAAGTTTCACCCCACAAATATTCAGGCAAATTTGTTCTACTTTTCACACTTCTAACCATATATTTTAGGGTTTGATTACGTCTTTCAGAAACACCATTCTATTCAGGTGTTCCTGGCATGGTGTATTGGGGTATTATTCCACACTCTTGTAAAAACTTTGCAAAATCATCCATATTTTGACCAGACTCGTCATATTTCCCATAGTACTCACCACCTCGGTCAGACCTTACAACTTTGATACTTTTTCCATGTTATTTCTCTACTTCCATTTTAAAAATCTTAAATTTCTCAAGTGCATAAGATTTATCATTAATCGGGTAGACATGTCCATATCGTGAGAAATAATCAATAAAGGTTATGAAATATTTGTTCCCACATATGATGGAAGGCAAAGGTACACAAATATCAGTATGTATCAAGTCCAAAATATCATCGCTCCTGGTGGAACCTTTCTTTGTAGACTTTAGTTAGCTTTCCTCTTATACAATCCACATGAGTGAAAATCAGAGAAGTCTAGAAGGGGAAATATATCAACTTTTACCAATCTTTCCATTCTATCCCTTGAAATGTAACCTAATCGCTTATGCCACAACATAAAGAACGATTCATGGATTAAAGCCCTTTTCTTTGACACATTGGTAACACGTGAGACTTTACCAAAAGGAGCCGAAGACAATTTGTATAAACTATCACATAAAAGTCCATTTCCAATCAAATGAGAATAACTCAACCATTCCATTACCAAAGTTAAAGATAAAACCACAGCCATCCAGTTTTGATATAAAAATCAAATTCCGTATCACTTGCAGTTCATAGGCTGTATTTTCTAAAACAAGAGAAAAATCGGATTCCAAGGATAACTTCACTACTCCTATGAATTCAACATTCACTTGAACTCAATTTCCAACACTCAAGCTCACTTCATTCTCACTTGGCCTCTATTTGCATGTGAACCTTTACAAGGAATTCACAATATGAATACTAGCTCCAGAGTCTACCAAGAATTCAAAGGTACATCTACAAAGGAAGACTCAGAACAGACTAAGGCCAAGGGAAAATTTTTAGAGCCTTTAGCTCAGATGATATATTTGTCATCTTCATAACGTGCTCTGTAACACAACTTGTAACATCACATCTCATACTCATCAATTTATCCATCAGATCTTCAGTTTCGACTTTATCAGACTCAATAATTTATTTATTTATTTTTTCTTCCTATGGCATTTATAAAACCTTTAGCATTTTTATTGTTTGGGAAAGCACCCTTAATAGAATCAGATATAGAGCGCTTAATAATTTTCAAACAGAGTTTGTTGGCTCTTTTCCACTTTTCATACTCAACTACATATTCAATATTGCTCTTATTTGTGGGTTTGTCAAGTTTCTTTTTCTGCATTGCAAAATCCAAGTCTAAAAGACCAAGTGCTATCTCTACATCTCCTTTCCATCTTATATAATTGTTTCTAGTCAAGGTTTCATTGGCAGACAATTGACTAGAAAGAGATGAGGTATAATAAGCCGTGGAAACATAAAGTTTCATATTCAATATCATCCAAACATAATGCATGCAGTCAAACAGATGATAAAATATTCATCTAATTAACAAGGTCTATTAATTAGATAATCCGTAATTAAATTAAATACATGAATTTTATTACGGTAAGAGCCTAGATGTATCATCATAAAGTTGTCTTTGGGCTGATAATACAACATGCTATAAGGTACTATTAAAACACATCATATAGCTAGTTAACAAAATCACATTGGTTTTCGAAATTCCAACACCTTTGGGCAGAAGGAGATTTCTAGACCAAGGCAAACTCGTTAACTGTCTTATGTCATTTTTCAAAAAATTATCACATATAATAATACCTTTGGGCAAGATATTATATGCAATAAATCAAAATTGTTGGGCAAAAATATATGCTTTTTTTTATTTTAGAGAAAATCAAAATAAATAATAATGAGTGTGTCACTTTAGCAGCTACCACCCATTTTTATTTCAAAATATTTCTCTTAGTGGGAAGATAAGGATGGTCTCAAAGCCCATAAAAAAATTCAATCATAGAACAATAATTATGCTGTAAATCATAATTATTAATCGATAAACGACAAAATTTATATGTGATTGAGAGACAAAATAGGCAACAAAATTTCAATATTCGAAAAGCGAAATTTAAATAAACAAATAATACCAACAATTGAATTAAACATTTTGACGAAAATGAAAATTGTCAATCAATTATTAATTTATTTGATATAATTTTAAACGGGTCAAAAATAAAATTTTAATTGGGTCAAAATTTAAAATTTTAGGGTCAAAATTTTTCAAGTTTAAATTCAATACTCTTTTGAAAATTATATTTTTAACCCTAAGTGCTAATTAAAATTAGGTCCTTTCAACATTTAAAAATTTTGTGGCAGGTCCTTACTTAAATGATTGCAATATGACCCCAAAATCTAATTGCAAATTGGGCCTCTCATCTCATAAATTGCGAGAGATGCCCCCGTCCCCAAACACCCTGCCCGTTTTGAAGAGAGCCCAGTACCTTTCCAAAAATAGAAAATCATTTAGATGTTAAAATTTACTTTGAAATTTTGAGAAATTTTTTTTAATAATATTTTATTCAAAAAATCTGATTATTCAACAAATGTGAATAGTTTAATGCTAATATAATATTAAATATAGTATTAGTTGAACTTTATGTAATTAATTCATGTTAGCTGTTGAATTTTATTTCCATTTTAAACTAGTAACCAACTTCAATTTTAGCCCAACAATTTACTTTAAGCTTTCCCGAATATGCACTCTTTCAAAATAATTCACTTGTTTACCAGAAGACAACATTTAACACAGTTCAAATCATGAGAAAGCACTAGAATAATTCAAAATCCTGAATCCGAATAATTCAATAGATATTTTTCTAAGTTTATGTGTCATTACAAAACAAGTAGACACTAACGAAATATAAACTACATCCACAAAATCATATACGACGCCTTGAATAGTCATTCCACATTTGTGTAGCAATTTGATCCCTAACTTGTCCCATTTGAGCTGTTTGACTAGCATCAAAATTTATGACTTCTTGATCTTGACTTGACTCCGGAATATCTTGAAACACCATATTCTCCTCCGTATACTGTACGAACAACTTATTTAAAGCGTGCTCCTGACGAATAAAGTTGTTTATTGCGCAACATGCAGTAGGAATTTGTCTTTGCCTACTAAGTTGATAGTTGGTAATCAACTTCTAAATAGGAAATCTTGCCTTTAAAACTCCAATGCAACGTTCAATAATGTTACGGCACGAGGAGTGTCTATAGTTGAACAATTCTTCCTTCCCACGTAATCTTCCCCGTCCAACATAGTCACGCAGATGATATCTTTGACCTCGATAAGGGGCAAGAAATCCAAGCATATTTGGATATCCAGAATCAACAAGGTAAAATTGATCTGCAAAATGAAAAAAAGGCTTACATAGTGTGACTGTAAATAAATTCGCAATAATTATTTGAAGTATAAGAATATACCTCCTCGTGGCATTGGAAAATTGTTTGAGCTCCTTGTGACAGCGTCAACAAATACTCGTGAATCATTAGCAGTGCCTTCCCAACCAGAATACACAAATATGAATTTCATATCAAAATCACATGTCAACATCACATTTTGTGTTGCATTAGTTTTCCTTACGTAAGCGGTTCCACTTTCCTTTTAATCTATCTATCCCGTAATCCATTTTTGTTGAAGCTATCATGTTTTCATTGATCCTGCCCCATTCGTCTTTCGTGAATGTTGAACATTGCAATACATTTGATTTCACTTTCTCATGAAGAATTTCGATGAAAGTGTGTTCATTCTCGTCCGACCATGACATTGGTTCCTTATTCCTAACTCTGTGACCACTCATGTAGGAGCTATATTTATATACATCAAATTATTAGGAAATAAGTAGAGTATTACATTTATTACAATTTTAGAAAATTGCAATAGTAAGTAAAATATAAAACAATGATCTCCCTACTATATCCAGTAGATGATAGTTATAATCACATATCACCAGTTGGTATGTAAAATAGATTAATGTATTTAGTTATAATCACATAAAATTATGAAGATATACTGATGACCGCTAGTGAAGGATGAAAAAATTTTTTTATTGTAAATGTTTCAAGAAAAGAGACTCTTGGAACTGAAGAAGCAAGAGAGCAAGTACCAATCCAACAAAAAAAATACATCCCCTGCAAACTATACCCACATCCACTTATTTATATTAGGTAAAAGAAGTTTCAATTTAATCCATTGTAAAGGATTGCTAGACAACAAATTCCAATAACTCAAGGATATAAATTGGAACCTTAACACCTATAACATCTAATGAAAAATAACAGGAGGACAAATATATTCATGAAACTAATGTAATAGAACAAATTCACTAATTAAAAGTTGAAAAAAAAAAAGAGTAAAGAAAAGAAAAGAAAACCCACAGCCTTGCCCAAAGAAAAGGACACCAATTAATCATGTTATTAGAACCTTCCTTTCATAAGATCAGTCCATAAAAGGGAACTTGCCTTAAGCGAGGTCCAGCAAGACTTACAATTTCAGACTTGCCACTGAAAATGCTCAAGCAACAGAGAATCAGCTAAGGTTGAAGCATCCCACTAAATTAGCATGAAACAATTATTGGAAAGAAAATAAGCTAAAAGTAGCCAAAGCACTGAACTTCAGACAGATTTTATTTTGCACTAGCATAATGCCGTCGTATAATATGCTGCCAAAATATAAAGATCTAAAGCCAGATTCAAGAATTCTACAGTAGAAAAGTAGAGCAAGATTGTCAGGACGTCATTCCATTTAATTTGAAACGGTGGACTTCATTTCAGATTCTATCAAAAAGCCAAAATGGAATAAAAAGGAGCAGTTCAATTACAAGCTTCCAACCATTTCCTCTTCTACCAAAAACATCCCGAGATGGATCAAAGGATGGGTAGATGATGGACAGAAGTTGCAGAGTTTTGAGATTAAAGAGACAATCAGGGTTGACGAACTAAGCATAGGATAGCAGCTCTTAGAAACATTGGTGGGTTATTATTTTTTGTCTAGTGATTCATCAGTCAGAATAGTATTCTAGGAAGCAAATGAACTAAAACGATGGAAGAGTGAAAGTAAAAAATAAAAATAAAAAAGATGAAGCCATTGGGGACTTCTATCAAACACTTGGAAACTTTCAACATAAATTTAAATATCTGTTGCATTCATCCTGTATCCAGTCATAGGCAACATAATCGTGCCTCATATTATCAAGAATCCTCAATTGCGAAAGATTACGAAATCATTTCCATGGCTAACTCAATCGCTAATTTGATTAATATCTCCCCACCCCGCGGCACAACACACGCACGCCTAGAAAAAGCAATGGAACTAAACCATTTATAAGTAAAACAGCAAAAGAAAGGTGCAAAATTCTAGCAATAAAAAGATTCATTCAGCGAGCAATATGATCTCATAGCTAAAATGAAAAACCCAAAAGAAGAAGGCATTAGGTCCCTACCCCATGGAAGCCGCAGAGGCTTGAATTGACAGAAATTTGCACAAAATATGAGAAATTTTGACAGAAATTTTCACCTTTTCTCGCAATTTCTCAGGTGTTCTGAGGAGTTAAATCGGTGAGTGTAGCTATTCGTCGGACTTGTTTGGGCGAAGGCAGAGCAAACCCTAGAAGATACTGGAACGGATCTTACAGGAGACGGGGAGAGAGAGAATATCTGAGAGAGAAGGTCACAAGTGGGTTTTAATGTAGGCATTTCCCGTGTTTTCTACTTTTTCATGGTTTTGGCTTCAAAACGTCCAAAACATCTTTTTAGTCGTTTTGTGTTTTTAGTGTAATTCATTTTTTTGTTTTCAAAAACTGGTTTTCGAAAATGGGAAAAAGAACGCATTTTCATCGTTTTGAAAAATTGAAAATAGAAAACGACTTGAAAACGGGAAAGAGAACAGCCCCTTAGATGTTAAAAAATTCTTGGACAGCAATCTATTAATCAAAAAATTCACATCCCAATTCAAATCCCAGTTAATTCATAGAACAAATACAGATATAGAAAAAAAGATCGATTATCACTTATTTCTTAAACTCTTTAACCCCTTTAAAAAAAAAATTTCATAGTCATTGAGGCTGCTAAGACACGAGTCTTCCCTTCGATGACACCTTGAACGAGTTCTTTTACGGAAAAATCGAAGACCCCCTTTTTTTTTTTCACAGCATTAATAAAAACCATAGGGATTTTGGTGGCAACATCTCATAATTATCTCAAAACCCAAATCAAAACAAAGGGCACTCCAAAAAATACAAACGTGTGGTTGTCTTGGATTCTTGATACAATTAAAACACAAATGGCTATTGAATGATTTCTTGGGGCTATGATTTAGGAGGTTATAGTTATACAAAAGAACAAGTTTCAGCCATGCGGCAAGAAAGGAATAGGTTGCAGGTTTCTTTTCATATATTTATATATAATCAACATATAATATGCATATATGCACAACACGTTTTTTTGTTTTTGTTTTTTTTTTTACAGAAAGAATTCATGAAGGATTTCGATCTTAACACGAAGGCTCTGATACCAATTGTTAATATTTAGTTTTGATCATGTTAAGAATCGAAAATCACAATCCAATAAATTAATAGAAACGAATTAATACATGTGCAAGCCATTGTTGATATGAATAATAATTGTAATAGCAGTCACGATTTTCCCCGCCTACTCCTAACAAAGTATTAGCTATCAATGGGGCAAGCCAATAAAATATATGGAGAGGAGAGGGGACATAGCCTTTATATAGGAAATAATTGAGCCGTTCCATTACGACTAGAATTCTAATTAGGGTTTATTTCCGACCCACATACTTAAAATTACCGTATCATATTAGTCACAAGCCGTGAGGTGTAAAAGGCCCAATTGATTACTTAACAAATTTGGCCCAAACACAAATATCATTATAAGCCATACATCTAACCTGTAAAATTTGCAATCGAATGTGAAGCCCACATTTGAAATTATTAATTATTCCAACAAAAACCACTTCCATTTCTAACCCATTGGCTTCCTCCCCCAACTCCTCCATGCCCCATCTTCGGTCTGTCTCAATCCATAGCCATTTAGCCAGCGGTCCTTAGCCAATGCCCAACGGTACGAATTTTCGATTTTGCCATTTTGAAGTTTAATTTCTTGCATTTTGTAACTTGAACCATTTTTTATATATATTTTTAGTACTTAATATGGTTATATAGATTATTGAGATTTGAGAGTGGGTGGTGTTTGAGAAATAGGATAAAAAATTTCTTGTTAAATTTGTGTATAAAATGATACCTATCCCTAATTCCTCGACACAATTTTTCCAGGGGTGTAAAACCACTATAAACCTATGTTGCTTAATGGCTTTGTTTTGATTTTATTTTTTTTTCCTGTTATTGCCATTGTAAGAAGAGATGACCCCATTGTAAGAAGAGATGACCCTGATTCCTATTTTTTTGAATTTTGCAACTAATGTTTTTAATTTTTCTTCTGTTTGTTGCATCCTATTAGGTACTAGTTAGAATGTTAGATATTTCATCTTAGTTGGGATTTTTGTTAGCCCATTGTTTTGTTTATTCAATTATTGCTTGTTGTTTCTATCTTTATAATAAAACTACAGCATTTCTATTTTCTCGTAGATATTTTACTAAGAGTATTTCATTCTATCCCCTAATATCACATAAGTATTACATGGAGTCATAGACATTCAATTTCAAAACTTGAATAAATGTTTTCTATTACATGGGAGATAAAATGCAATATTTTTATCATTTTATGTACTTCTGTTTGATGATCTTATTTTTCTTAAGTTACAATATGAATTAAAAGAGTGGACTATAGGTTCGTTCTAAATTCTAATGCGGAATTCTTCTTCATTGTCAACAGTATCACTTCTTTCCCTGTTTATTATGTCCATTGTTTTGCTCATCTATCTTATTTGTTCGTATGCGTATAATGTCCATTGTTTTGCTCATCGATTACAGTTGGTATTGGTTTATGCAGTTAAAGAAATTGATGTTATTTGAGAGTTCTTTTCTCGTTTGGACAACATTATCAACATTATCATTTCTATCTCTAAACGAATCACAGAGTTACAATTTGCTCAAAGAAATAAAATTGAGCATATGTTAGTTATTGGGGAGTATGAGTCAGGAAGAAGAGCAAATCAAATGGGTAATTTACAATGATCAGGAGCAACTCGTTGGAGTTTTCATAGTGACTCTATAAAGAGCTTGATATATATGTACAATGCAATATACAAGGTGTTTGAAAATCTTAATGTCCATTGTCCAAATGGAAGATCTCGTGGCGAAGTTCGTGGCAGTTATAAACATATGAAAAATTTTGATTTTGTGTTCAGTTTGCATTTAATGCATAACATTGTGAGATTAATCAATACTCTTTGCCAGACCTTGCAAAGGAAATCTTTAGACATCTTGCTGCTATGAAATTTGTTTCTACTACAACAAAACTCCTTAAAAAAAAAAAGAGAGATTATGATTGTGAAGAATTTCTTCAGGAAGTGAAAAAGTTTTGCTCAAAACATGATATTAAAATACCGGACCTAGAAAGTTTGTATAAGGATGGTCCTTGTTGTTCTCATGATCAAATTACAATAGAGCATCACTTTGATGTTTTCAATGAAACAATATATTTCATATTGATGGTATTAAATATAAGATTTAATGATACATCAGTTGAACTTCTCACACTCAGTGCAGCTTTGGATCCTAAAAATTCGTTTGAATCATTTAGCATTCATGATATTTTTACACTTGCTGAAAAAATTTATCCTGAAGATTTTTCAAAACAAGATATTCGTACTTTGAAATATTAGTTACGACATTTTAAACTTGATATGAAGAGTGAATCTTGATTTCAAGTATCTAAACTTGTTGAGTTATGTTGACAATTAAGTGAGAGTAGTAGGTCAGAGGCTTATATTATGGTTACTTGGTTGATTCGTCTTGTACTGACTTTTACCTGTTTCAACGATGACTACCGAGAGAGCATTTTCAGCAATGAAACACGTGAAGACTGATCTTCATAACAGAATGGAGGATGATTTTTTTACTGATTGTATGACACTCTTTATCGAACGAGAACTTGCTCAAAGATGGATATAGATTCTGTTGTAGATGAATTTTATGTTTCAAAACCTCATCGGGAACAATTTCAAATTAAATGAATTTGACTTTAATTCATATATGAATTTACTATATCAACTTTTAAATTTTATCCCGTGTACCAAAAATTCTTGGATCTGTCCCTGACCACCACCTCCACCTCCACCTCCACCTCCAATCTACCACCACCACTTGCACCTCAATCAACAACCCATCGAACTTTACCTCTACCTCAAATTCACCACCATCTACAGTGCATCACCACCATGACCACTACCTTTTTTACGTCAATCCACAACCATCAGACAATAACTACCGTCACCTACTCCACCACAATTTCCAACTCCAATCTACCACCACAATTTCAGCTTCACCTGGAGGGGTTGAGAAAAGAGATTATTTAAATAATTTGTGTTCATATATGTAGAGATAGAATGTTTTCTATATAAGGAGATTGTTCCATGGGAAGAGAGAGAGTTTTGATGGGAAAGAAAATATTTAAAGTGCGGTGCGGAGGTGATGGGAGTGGGGTGTTTCGACCCTTGCACAAATGTTTAGAAAGTGAGGGTGGGTGACTATAGCAGGGTGTATAATATATTTTCAAATTAAAAAACAATTATAATCTATTTTTTGAAGAAAAAAAAGTTGTACTTTTTGAATTTGAAAGTGAAAATATAGGGTTTAATGTAATTTTCACTTAATTGAACTACTTGATGAAACAGCCGAACTACTGTGCCCTAGTTTTACCTCTCATATACTAAATCAAAATTTTGATTACAATTTGAATAAAATATTGGCCATAAAAAGTTAATGTTCGACTCCTCTTTCCTCCTATAAAATTTGGGCACTTCTCCACTGGTAAAGGACGGACGCTGTCAAACCTGGCAGAGCAGAGGTCGTGAGTTCGAAACATGGGGCTCTTGGAAGGCAAGGATTTATTCTTGGAAGGCAAGTGGGAACTTGGAAGGCAAGGATTATTTTTGGAAGGCAAGGTGCAACTTGGATTGGCTTGCTTGGCACTTTGTCAGACCAGGTGGGGAGCGCTCGGACCCTGGTCAGTTGGATGCACATCCTGCGATTAACCGGACTGTGTGAAGAGGGGCCGGATCACAGACCCAAGGATTAGTCTAGAA